TCTACTATGTGCTCCTGCCACAATGTGCTGCCCATGCAGAGGCCCAACACAAGAGCCCGATCAGTCCTGAACTGAGATTCCCAAAACTGACAGCCAAAATAGATCTTTTCTTTACTAAGTTAATTATATCAGCTGTTTGATTATAGTGATGAAAGTTTAAGTAATATAATACTAAGTATTGATTTTCCATATGGGATAATTTTACCCATAAATTTCTATAATATGGACTATAAATTGTTAAAATGTTGAAAGCATTTTTTGGTTGTTTTTTTCTGACCTTCTTTATATTTATCTTGAATCATCAATATGAATCTGAAGGTACAATGGTTAGAAGTGAGGTGGTAATTTATAACTCGTATAAAACTTCTTTACCAATGTTTTCATGACTCTCTTGTCAAAGGAATGGAATTATAAAGTATGACAGTGAGATACAATCTTTTTTATTATCTAATCTGCAATTTTCAGTCTTTTGATTACGGAAAATTGCACTCTAAAGAGGTCACATTAGTTCTGCAAATAGTCCTAGGCAGAAAAGCAGATATAGCAGCCCAATGATAATTGTAAAAATTTTAGAGATGCTTATTACTATTACATGATATGTGGAATATGAAATATGGAATATATTTTACATGACAAGAAGAATATATTCTGAGACCCAAGAGGCATTTTTATGCTTTTACTACAATGCCTTTAACTGTTGGATACCCTTAAGTATCCACCAAACTCCTCGTGTCACTTTTATTATTCCTGAATATTTAAAGAGGGTATGAACAGGCACAGCCCTATCAGTTACAGCTTCAATAACATACCATGGAATCTTTAAAAAATGTCCGGTTCACACACAATGGAGTACCATTCTGCTATAATGAAGGGTACACTTGAGTCATTTGTAGAAAAATGAATGCCCTTGAGACCATAACGTAAATGAAATAAATGAGAAATATAAGTTGAAATATCACATTTTCTCTTACATGAGAAACTCAAAGCATAAATAAATCAAAGAGCAAAATAAAAGATAATAGGAAACAGTACTTTTGTAAATAAGAAAGAGATCAAGAGGTGGATGGGGAAGGGAAGGATATATGTAATGAATTAAGATGTGTCACGTACATGTATCAACTTTTTACAATGAATTTAATCTTTATATATTGCAAGCATGTACTTAAAAAAAGAATGAAAGATTGTCCTACACTAACATGAAGTTTTTTTTTTTTTTTTTGGCAATCTGTAATCCTGCTTCTACTACTCTCACTGGATTGATGATGTAGTTAACTCATAGTTACTTTAACTTCAACTCAGCTGGAAGATAGACACTTCATTATTTTTCTTTTTAGTTCTTCTGTCATCATGAATTTTAATTTTGGGGTCCAACCTCCTGAAATGTCCCTTCAACATATTTCTTTATGATTAAACTGAAATTTTTATTTTTATAGATGGATAGCTCTTTTTCTTTGGTTATGTAGTTAATAACACTGACGTATGCATTATCTGTTACAAATTGCTACTATTTGTGCTACTAATGGCTGCATATCTCCTTACTGAGGGTTTCTATATGTTTTTAGAAGAAAAAGTATGCACTTAGAACATGGTTATAGGCCACTTAATCTTTTTTATATCATTTTATCCTAACAGGTTAATGAAATCATAATGTGTATCATATAAATAATTTTAACTTTTATCAGACATGCATTTTGTAAAATATAGTTTTTAATCATTTAGCTTTTAAGATTTTTTATAAAAGTAGTTATACGCACAAATATAACTGGAAGCAAAGTGTTCCTAAAAACTTTATATTATATATTTCTTAGAGAAAAAAATTTACAAGATAAAAATGGATGCATATTAAGAATTTATGGAACAATTTTGTGAAGATTTTTTATGTATAGTTTTCTATTGCTGCTAACTGAAAGCCTATGCATTTGTTTCTTAGACTCAGATACTTATAAGCATGCATTTATCAGCCTTTATTTTCACCAGTTAATGTTCTCTCTTTAGGGAACATTACTTGCTAGCTATCGCTTGGCTACTTAAAGGCATTCCTAGAACCATTACCATGTATTTATGGGAACGAGGCATGCCTTTACTCACATACTTATTTATTGCCTTTCTCCTACCAATGCCACAGCACTTGAGTCAAGATGAGAACAGTGTAACAAGCCCGCTGTGGAAATTATTTTTTTCTCCATCCTCACCATCTACTTTGGCAGCATCACACCATAGTCACATGGGGACACTTGTACAAGTTAAAACTGTAGTTTTGATTGTCATTCAAGCATTGAATACATTCTTCTAATTTTCTTGTAACAGAAATGGAGACTTCTTTTCTTTCTTTTTTATCTTAGTAGGACAACGGCCTTCGCTTTTGAAGTACACAAATTTGGGTAGACAGAGGTCTAATTTCTGGGCGAAATTTTTAAAAACGTAAAAAATTACTATGTTTTTTGTTTGGATATTTATGTAAAATAAACCATTTCAACATGGAAGACAAGTGTTATGGATTATCGTATTAAATGTGTCCCATTGATTTAGAATGTAACTCCCCCTATTTCATAAGGCTATATATCATTTTTTTCTTTTTATGAGAACAAAAACAAAAATACATGGAAATAATGTATAATTTGACTTATCAAACAAAAAATTAAAAATCTTTTAAACTATGTAATTCATTGTTGGACATTTATTTCCTGATAGTTCATATATACATACATATAAGTCGATTTATCATATTTAAATTATTTTTAAATACTCAGTAAAAGTAACTCAACTTAAAAATGCTATTTAACTTGCCATTGAGATGTAAGACAGATGAAGTAACTTAAACTTCTCCAGCTAAATTAAAGAGAAAAATTAGAAAATATAAAATAAATAATAACTATTTCAACTCTGTGTCTCAATTTTTCTCATTCATATTACATTACATTTCAGTACATGAAATAGACATTTCCCAAAATTACATTTTAGAAGTAGCTGATTTCACTATTTTTACTATTTTGAAAAACAGTACTATTTTCCATTCAGATTGTTGTTTACTATTATTTAATTCAGATAAGATAAGTTTGAAACTGATTCACCGTGATGCACAGAAGGAAAAAGAAAAGAATGAAAGCGTGGATTTTCCAGTAGGGAGGACTTCAGTTTGAACCACCAATCATGCCATTTTGGGTTAGAAGTGCTAAGTTAGTTCATCTGTTTGAATCTCAATTTCTCATCATTCAAATATGGATATTTTATTCACAAGAGCTTCTGTGAGGATAAAACAGTAAAGGTACAAGTCACATGTGTGGCATAGGTAGTTATCAGCCAGGGCTGTCACTTAATGTAGCATACTATCAGCCACATATGGTACTAAATGGTTTATACATTTATAAATTTAATTCTTATAGCATTTCTTTGTTATATCGCAAAAAAGAGAACTGCAATGTTTCAGTGAATGATACAGCAGATTATTTTGATCCCATATTACAGACATCAAAGTAAAGAATAGAGATGTTTAATTATAGAAAGCTGAATAAATCTTAACTGACAGGAGAATTCTAATTGGGATTCATCTGTTTGTTTTCTATTGCTGTAAAACAAACAAATGATCCAAATGTAATGGCTTAAAATAACCACTTTTTTTCTGTTTTCTGATTGGCTAAACTGCGGTGGGTGGTTTCTTTGTGACAGCTGCAGCCCTCTGCTGGAGGTGATGGCAGGGATTAAAGGTGCCATAACATCTGCGAAGGCTCCTGTGCAGGACTGCCATCAGTGCTCTCTGTGGAAGCTCAGCTAGGGTTGCTGACCAGAGCTGCACAGATCTCTCTGAAGCACTGCTGTTGCCTTGCCATGTGGACTGCCTTCACTCCGCATGGCGCCTGCGTTCCAGGAAGAAGCAGCACTGCAGGACAGCTGCAGTGTGGAAATACGCAAAATGCCTCCACCTGTGTCAGACTCATTTATGTCCCACAGGCCAAGGTTGGTCACACACAGAAACTCAGACTCAGTGTAAGATAAAACTCCACTAGGGCACGAATACTGAGAAGTCCCACTGAGGCCAGCAAAAGCCCATGGTACCGATCATCGAGAGCACTTTTTCCTGCCTTTGAAACAACCATGGTGGGCTGTGTAACAACCATGTTCCTTCTGGCCGTACATTGGCCAAGGACTTCTGAGAAGGAGTTAGGAATTTCAGACACACTGATGGGCATGCTTTTAGTAACTTATATACTTTCCTGCTTCCAAATATGACATAAAATTTCAACTTTGTACATATGATGTTTAGAAATTTTAGTTCTATAAAAATACTTTTCTCAAAGATTTTAATCATTTTTATCAAATTTTAAATGCCATTTTGTTTTAGGTTTTATACATTTAATTTGTTATTGAATAAAACAGAAGAAATATTATTACATTTCATACCTTATCATTACTCAAATAAAAGTAAACATACAGCAATCTATATTTTTAGAGTATTATATCACTAATTTTTGATTTTCTAGAAACTTCCTCTCAAAAGAATGAGCTTGTTCTTAACGTCTGTGAGAGCAGGATTTTTGATTTAGAAGTTATAATATTTTATTTTTTATCAATTATAATAATTTTAATGGTTTTTATGTACATGGTTTTATGCTGAACTCCTTTATTGAAATGTTTTACTCCAGATGAAGCATTTGTATTTATGTATAAAATTTGTTTCTAAATAGTAGTATTTAACCTGAATGACCCAACATTTGACACTATTCTTTTCATTTCATTGATATTTAGAAAAAAATATAACTCCTTACTCTTGACTTACTGACTTCAACTGAATTAGCAGTGATTTATAGTTAATACGTTTTCAAAGCTATTTGGCAACCAATGCAAATTCTGAAAAACTCATAGCTTAAAAATCAAGACTCTGAGAGGTAGTTTCAGAAGCCAATATCCTAACAAAATTATTCCTTTGATGATTGTGGTATTCTATTAAATTTTTAAACAAATTCTGATTGATACATGAAGTAGTAAGAAAATTAGAAACTTACTTTTTGTGACCACACCTTCTAGGCGAATTATGTTTGGGTGATCAAATTGACCCATGATGCTTGCTTCTCTTAGAAAATCTCTTCTTTGCCGATCCATGTGGCCACCTTTCAAAGTTTTAATGGCAACTGGAATTTCTCTTTTCCCTGGTGTCTTCAAACGCCCACTACAAACTTCTCCAAATTCACCTTAATATGAAAAAAAAAGCAGTTATTTGTTTAAACAGAATACTTGTATTTCAAAAAATCAAATTGCAATTGTTACACTTAAAAATAAGAATGTGACTCTCAAGTAACTTTCACAAGAATATTTTTTTCTAAAATTCAAATTTGTGTGGACAATATGCTTGATCAACAGCATTTATTCATTTCTACATTGGCTTGTGATTAGATGTCCCCTTATGAAGTCATAGGTGAGGCTTTTGCAGAAGTGGCTGGATCTAGAGTGTGTGACACAGACAGATGCATGGATCTAGATATGTAATGCTAGGATCAAGGATATGAGGATAATGGCTGTAAGTGCTACTTGCCCTAAGTAGCTTGGATAAAATATAAGTGATAGAAAAAGCTGTGATTGTCCCTTGTTGTTTTGCTACCTGCTTTCTGCCAAAAATTGTTTCTCCTTGTGAGGCTTATCTGTCATGCTATTCTGCCTTGGAGCCAGCCAAAGATAGACTAAACCTCTGCAAACACTGTGCCAAATAAACCTATCCTCCTTTAACATTGTCAGATACTTTGTCTGACATCAGAGAAGAGTAACTAAAACAATTATCATGTTATTATTCATCAATAACAGAATGTACTTTCATATGCTATTATCATAGGAGCTACTATTGAATGATATCTCTGATTTGTTAAGAAGCTATGATTAGCAGAGTAATTCTATTGTGATTTTTAAATTTAAAACAACAACAAAACAAAAAAGAAAAATGATGATACAGAATTTCAAAATAAAAACTAATATAATTCTATGGGAAAGCAATTATTACAATACATTTTATGTTTCTGTTCTCAATTCTATTATATATAAAATGCTTGATCTATACAGGGCATCTATCAGATATAGGTGATTTTGTTCCCCAGGTCATAATGTATGGGTTCATTTGCCACTTAAAACTGATGGTAGGGCCAATTAATTTATGAACATATCAAAAAACCAAAGACTCAATAATGTAAGTGATTATTCAGGCTATAAATATAATAAGTTATGTTTTTGTCCTAGTTTCATTGAGTATAAACAATAACCAAATATGTATTTAGCAATAATTTCATATGTATATGTTATAGTGTCAACTTGCTCTGAATTTCCAAGAAGCATAAAACTTCATCTCTGTTCTCCTGAGCTTATAGCTGAGTTGGAAATTTTAGATGAACATAAGTGAAATGCTTCAGAATCAATCACTATAAATGGTGCATTTGCTGAGTAAGAACAGTAGGGACTGAAAAACTTCCTAATGTCACAGAACTCATGCTGCCTAAGAACAATGAGTGAGACAGAAGTAGACATAGTCAAAGGAACAGTCCCTGGAGGGAGTGGAAAAATCGAAGACAAATCTTCAAGGATCCGCAACAATAAATGAATGATGGGCACAGGGAGGGGCAATGAGATAAGAGAGGTTAATGTGAGAGAGATGTCATAGATGCAGTACAGTCAACAAAGCAGTACAGTCAACAAAGCTGGAAATTCCAGACTCCTCATTTTTCAGGTCAAATTCTCTGCACTTACTTAACGCATGATATTTGATCCTCTTTTTTCTTTTCACATATAAGGTGAACAAATAAGGCTTTCCATAATTCTATTGTGCTGTTTTCTTGCAAGGATATCAGGACAATCGAACATTAGAATACTGCTTATACGCAAGTATTTGTAAATGGTGACGTGCTACTCAAAAAGTTATTCTGTTTAAATTTTTGAAGGATAAAAGCAATGAAAATTAGATAGTGTCCAGTTGTTTATTGGTTATCAGCTATTGTCTATTGTTGGGTACACTGTAAGTTCAAGTGTAGAGTATCAGAATTTTCAGTGCCACAGATACCAACTTTCTATACTTTCTTTGACTCAGTTCATCACAGTAAACTAAATATTGGCCAGACATGAACAGCAACTATCTTTTGGTATAGATACTAAGTTTTCTTTGTGTAAAAATAACTAGAAAATAATTAAAAACTTTGCTTTTTATAAAACGTTTTTGCAGGTGTTCATTGGAAATGGGAAACAGTCTAATAAGACAAGACTATTGCCACTATATTTCAGAGTATAAGATCTGTGGGTTTTACAAATCTGACATAAATTTGCTGGGTTAATGCTGTTAAAAGGTAATATTTCACTATTAAAAGCTAAGGATAATACTGTAAACTTACCAATGCTCCCAATTTGTTGGGAACTATATGTTTGTAGTTCATTGAAGAATAAAGCTTAAATTTTAAATTATGTTTGTAGTAACTCATGAGTTTTTAAAAAAATTCATTCTACATTAAAGAATCAAAATAGAATGTTTCAACATTTTTCTACTAAGATTTTAGAACCAGAGAAAAATGTGTGTATAATTTAAACTCATGTCAGGTCTAATCCTATTAAGATACTTGAAACTCATTCACTAATCAATGTTTTTTTTCTAATGAATATCCATAACAATTCAAATATTTATGCTTTACTTCACTTTCACTTTATTTGTTTTACAAATTTGCTATAGCCCATATGATTTTTCTATTCACATTTCATGTGAAGTCAAATAAACTTTTGAATATAATGAAATAAACAAGGACTCTGTTGGCATTTTATCAAGACAGACACAGTGGTAATTTTCTTTGAGTATCTGTTGTCTAAATTTCATGTATCTTATTAACACCAGGCAGATGTTTTAGTCATATAAGGATCTGCAAGATCTAGCTGTTATCACACTTATTTCATTGGCACTAAACAGGACTGCTTCAATTAAAGACCTGAGATTCCTAGTGCATTCTTTAGGCAAAATCCAAAAGCTGAGTCTCAGAATTTATTAACATCTATCCTCAGTAGGCATGGATGTGTTAGATATATCAGGGAGACAAGAACACATATTTTAAATTAAATGTAAAATTCCAGACACTGCCAAAGACTGATGCATTATGTTATTAGAAGCCCTGTGTATACTTGGTGTACAGGAGTCTGGTGTTAAACACTTTATCTCATTAACAATACATAGTTGCAATCATTATTACAATGCTAGAGCTTATATAGTGCTTATCGAGTAACTTGTTTACAGTGAACTTATTTAGTAGACAGTCACACTGTCTAGTAAGTGGAGGAGCTCACCTTTGAATCTAGCTTACCTAGCTCTAGAATTCTTCCTTGTAGATCACAATTCCCTTTGTCTGGGCTATTTATTATTGTTAATTTTTATGCGTAATTATTAAGCATAATTAATATGCTTAATTCACCATTAGTAATATCTTCAAACCAACTCTTCTGTAGAGCTGGATATGGACAGGTGAATGGAATGATAAAACCATATCCCATGAACCTTTCACTATTAAATGGCAATGGAAATATAGCTCAAATATGTTGTATGCTAGATGGTCTGGAAAAAATGACTACTGTCTATGTAACTTTAAGAGAGAAAAGAAAATTATATCTCAGGTAATTGATCTTCTGCCACTGACAGTGCATTCACTAGCTAACAGCTTCAGTTGTCTCCCTAGACAGTGGTAAAACCTTTCTGGACAAGAAAGTTTGCTGTAAAATATATGGGATCACATTAAACTATCAACTAGTATTGCATTTTCATGTAGAGCCTATATAATTGAACTAGAACTGTGAGGACTGCAGGGTGAGTGGCAGTAAAGTGCTGCCTGAAGCATGGCTTTCCAGAATTTTACTCCCTGTTTTCTGGGTCTGAATCTCCCCCACCTACAACTCCTGAAGTGTCAGAAAGCAAAGATCCATCATTCTGACTTCAACAATATTCATGTCTGTTAACTCTGTTTTTTTTTTTTTTTTTTTTTTGTCTTTTTCGTTTTTATCAGTACCAGGGATCGAACTCACGACCGCACACTTGCAAGGAAGGTCCTTATGACGCTGAGCTAAATCCCCAGCCCGTCTGTTAACTCTGATGACATATTTCTTTCACCACACGTAGGGTTTCCATCCAACAGTAGTCTCCACTACGAGTTGTCTTTTCTTCTCTCCTTCCATCTCTATGCCCTCTGCAGTCATTCTTTATGTAGATTTTTTTTTTCTTTTGTGGTGCTAGGCCAGGGTCTCACACATGCTAGGCAAGCACTCTACCAATGAGCTGCATCCACCCAGTTCAGAGACAGATTGTTATTGGCAGTAAAGGCTGAGCTTGGCTGTGTCTCCTAAAGAAAATTTCCAGTTATTGTTCCATAGAACTTATCCTACCACCAGCCTGTCCAGCTTAAAATAAAGAAAACAGAAGGAAAGAAAGAAAAAAAAAAAAAAAGCTCTTTGAGAAGCTGGCCTGGCTGTCAGAGTTAGGCTATTTTATTCTCACATTAAATATAACATTAACCTCAGATGAGGTTATTCTGAAGTCATGATAAAATAAGATAAATTAGGACCAATACATAATTTTATCTAAGCCCGGACAGAGGTAAGGTCACTGTGCCATCTCAAGTAACATACATCTGTCTCTTGGCTAAAATGAATGCCACTTAAAAAAACAATTAATAGCTTTATTTTTTATTCTTATTTTAGTCTACTTTTCCAGTATCTAAGATTTACTCAGATACTATGGTGTAAATCCTTAAATTAAGGCTCAATATTTAGCTGGAGGAACCTTACAGGGGCTCACATAGACTTATTGTAAGTTCTCCTCTCCAGTCTGTTCCTGCAAGTAAGGTCTCCTAACCAAATAAACCTTATCCAACAGATTGGGTGCAGGGAACCTTATCCCTAAGTAGCTATGACAGCCTGGGGAATGATTCACACTGTGAATTAGTGTGATTCCTCCATCTTGATACCACAAAGCATGCATCCTATAGCCCTGGTTGCTTACTCTGTTCTCAAATTTAACTTCCATGTGGCCCTGAATGATGTGCAGTGTCTTTCTCCCTTGGACTGTGATATATATGATTAATAAATATTGCATCATTTGTGTCCAATGTAAAGTGTTGTGTGTTCCAGCAAGCCCATAACTAACTCTAGGACCAACAGGGTGGATCACAGGCCACTAAGAAACAACTAGAGG